GGCGGGCGCGCAGGGCAGGAGGGCGCCCAGGCGCAGCGAGCCCCCTGAGCGCACCAACTCGCCGCAAGGCTGCGGGTGGCCGCGGGCAGGACCGGGTCCCAGCGCCAGCACCAGCGCTAGGTAGAGCCACAGCGAGCACCGCACAAACTCCATGGCAAAGTTCCGGCTCAGATCGGAGCCACCGGGGACACCGACCTCGAGGGAGCGGGGATCGTGGCCCGCCGGGTTAGCCCTCCCCGCGCGGCTCCACCCACCTGCGTCGCCCCAGCGGCTCCGGGTCCGCGCCACCGGTACTTCGCGCCGGGCGGGCTCTAACCCATCCCTGCTCAGAGCCCGGGGATCATTTCTCCATTCTACAGATGAGGAAACCGAGGCTCCACGTCAGGGAGGGGTTTTGTGGCAAAATGGGTTCCCACTCACATCCTGCTCCTTCCCAGGATCCCCGAACCCCCTCCCAGCCTGGGAATGTCACCCATGCTCAGACAGGGAAACGGAGGCCCGGGAGGGGTCAGGATTTGCCCTAGGCCACTCTAGAGGCGCCTCCCAATTCTAAGAGGCAGTCCCTACCCAGACCAGCCCATCTGAGTTTGTTCTAACACTGTGTGCATCCTGGGGAAACTGAGGCAGGCATGCTGGGTGGGACTCATCGGGTAGACCTCTGACCCTCCAGCCATGGGAAGGTCAGCTTAGACCAGGGATCTCCTTTATACCCTTCAAGACCCAATGCCAAATGCCCCTGCTCTGAAAAATGTTCCCTGCTTGCCCCTCAGAAAGGTGCAGACACCCACCCCCCACTGAAGCTCTCCCTGACTCCATTATCTGCTCACACACTATCATCTTGTTCGTTCATTTGCTTTCTGATTTCCTGTCTGTCTCCTCCACCAAGCTCGGGGAGGGGAGGGGAAGGGAGGGGAGGGTCTGGGGCTGGCTTGTTTCCTGCTCTGTCTCTGGTGCTTGCACATAGTAGGTTCTCTATAAGTGCTTGCTACTGGAGCAACTGCTCAGACAAGCATGCTTGGTCACGTCATCCTGCCTTGCTCCCTACTGTCCACCAATCCCCAACCTGTTATGGATTGAATCATGTCTCCCAACAATGTGTTGTAAATCCTAATCTCTGTGCCTGTGGTTATAATCCCATCTGGAAATGGGTTGTCTTTGTTACGTTAATGAGGCAGGATTGGTGTCTGGTGTGTTGCGTTGTTAGGTACAATTGAGTCGGCTCTGACTCATAGGGACCCCGCGTACAACAGAACGAAACACTGTCTAGTCCTGTGCCATCCTCACAATGGTTGCTACATTTGAGCCCATTGTTGCAGCCACTGTGTCAATCCATCTCGTTGAAAGTCTTCCTCTTTTTCACTGACCCTCTACTTTACCAAGCATGATGTCCTTCTCCAGGGACTGGTCCCTCCTGATAACATGTCCAAAGCGTGTGAGATGAAGTCTAGCCATCTTTGCTTCTAAGGAGCATTCTGGCTGTACTTCTTCCAAGACAAATTCATTTGTTCTTTTGGCAGTCCACGGTATATTCAATATTCTTTGCCAACCCCGTAATTCAAAGGCATCAATTCTTCTTCCGTCTTCCCTATTCATTGTCCAGCTTTCGGGTGCATGTGAGGTGACTGAAAACACCATGGCTTGGGTCAGGTGCACCTTAGTCTTTCAAGCGACATCTTTGCTTTTTAACACCTTTAAGAGGTCTTTTGCAGCAGATTTACCTGGTACAATATGTCGTATGATTTCTTCACTGGTGCTTCCATGGATGTTGATTGTGGATCCAAGTAAAATGAAATCCTTGATGACTTCACTCTTTTCTCCGTTTATCATGATGTTGCTTATTGGTCCAGTTGTCAGGATTTTTGTTTTCTTTATGTTGAGGTGTAATTCATACCGAAGGCTGTGGTCTTTGATCTTCAGCAGTAAGTGCTTCAAGTCCTCTTCACTTTCAGCAAGCAAGGTTGTGTCATCTGCATATTGCAGGTTTTAGTCTTCCACTAATCCTGTGTAGGGTGTATCTTGAGTCAATCTCTTTTGAGATATAAAAGAGATTAAACAAGCGAGCAGAGGAGCAGAAGCTGAAGAGACAAGGACCTTTCCCCAGAGCTGACAGAGAGAAAGCTTTCCCCTAGAGCTGGTGCTCTGAATTTGAACTTCTAGCTCCCTCAACTGTGAGAAAATAAACGTGTTTGTTAAAGCCACCCACTTGGGGTATTTCTGTTATAGCAGCCCAAGATGACTGAGACAGCTTCCCTTGTGTGCTGTAGGTCTCCCTGTGTCAAACGACTTGGGGTCCTTCCTGTGGCCCTGGCATCTAGCAGGCACTTAAACACTGGCTGAATCAGGGAAAGAGTGAAGGAAGAGCTTCCTCCCAGCCCAGGCAGCACCCTGACAGGAAATTCTCTTTTTCCATTCCCCTAGGTCGGGGAGGAGGAAGCAGAGCCAAACAAGGCTCTGAAGGAGTTGGGAGTCTCCCAAGATCCTGCAGGACAGCAGGGGCAGCCGCCTCAGGCACAGAACATTCCATCTCTAATGAATGAATCTCCACTTGGCTCAGTTTTCTCACACGCGCGCGCGCGCACACACACACACGCAAATTCATCTCTTTTTGGAGCCAGTTTGAGAGAGAGGGAAAAACAATCCATTAAATAGATAAAAATGCTGAACACCAGCCAGCAAAGGGAGCTGAACCTTGAGATCGCTGCACCAGGGCCTGAGGGGCTCCGCTCCAGGTGACCAGGGGGCCACCTCATCCAGCCACCTGGCCACACACATCCTAGGAGCAGGACAGGGAGGGTCCCGCATTCTTAACCCCTCCCCCTGAAGCCAGGGCAGTCATCACACAAGCGACCCTCCTGCCTTCAGGGGAGCCCCACACTCGGCACTCACCCACCCTGGTTCCAGGTCATAGGGGATCCTGGGTCCGCCTGCCCTAGGGCCGCCCCATCCGTGGGCTAAGTTTCTTACCGAGGGAGCGTGGGAGACCTCAGAGAGAGGGGAGGGGTCTTGGGGAGGGGCCTCAGCTGCTGTTCAGTCGGGCCAGTGAAGGAAACTTGCTGAGCGTGGAGCGAGCACAGCCAGCTGCGTCCCACCCTCATGGGACTCAAACTCAGGGATGTCATCTGAAGCTGCCCCCTCTCTGGTTCTCACCAGCCTACCCTCTGCCTTCTCTGGATTCCTGCGGTCTGGGACCTTTGCGCTGTCCCTGAGAGTGCGGGAATGATGGCAAAGTGGAACTTGGGACACCTGTCACACCTGCAGCATACCTGCCACGCATAACCTCCCCAAGGCTCCTTGCAGGCCTAGGAGGGGAGACACGTCCCCATTTTACAGAGAAGTAGACAGAGTCTCAGAGCTGGGCGTGGCTTACCAGGACACATGGCGATTTAGGCCCTGGAGGGGGTGGGGCCAGCAGGCTCTGCCCCTCACCTCCAGCCTCGGCGGTAAAACAGGGGTGGTGGATGGTGTCCTGCAGATCTGCCTGCCAGATTCTCAGTCCTTCGTCCGCCCGCTGCCTTGGCCACCTCTGCGCCTGCAGAGGAGCCCGCGACCTTTGCATCCAGGGACGGCGGCGGCCAGGAGAGGCGTTGTGGGCGCCGGGCTCGAGGCCCTCCCTGCGCATGATAATTGTCGCTGCTGGGACACCAGCCCAGTGCTCGCCCGTCGTCTGCGCGCTGGTTGTCCACAGCACGGGCTCAGCGGCAGTGCCCGGCCGGGGGCCGCCTGGGAGAGCGGAGGCCCCTGGAGTGGCGACCTCATCTTCCCTGTCCAGGGGTGATGCCACAGCCTCACCCCAGCCCTGCGGAAACCACTGAGGCAGGATGTCCGGGTCCGGAAGAGTGCGGGAGTAGGAACAGGGGAGGTGTGAGCTGCCCCTCAGGAGGAGCCGGGGGAAGGGCCACGCAAGGCCTCCGGGACACAGGCGAGCAGCCCAGCTCCCTCCCGGGACCTGAGCAGACACAAGCTCAGGCCAACCGGCTGCTTCCCGGACCTCCTGAACACACCATCTCTCTCTAGGCCGATAGGCAGAGCAGGCTGGGAGATGGGGGGCTTCATGGGACCCTCAGCACGGGCTCCGAGGGGAACAGACTTGGCAAGAGGACCACTGAGGACGCTGGTGTGGACCCTGGCCATCGGGACTCTCTGGCCCCCTAGAGACTATGGGGTGGGGCGGGGACTCCTTCCAGCCCCAAGTTTCTCAGATGCTGACCCCCACAGGAGCCTGGCCCACCAGAGGGAACACAGCCGCCCCCTCCCTGCTGCCACCCTACAGCATCTGTGACCTCCGATCTCCATGTTCCCTCGAGTGATGGCGCTTGGTGCAAGGCCCCTGTGTGTGTGTGAAGGGGTGTTTTATGAATGACAGAGACCCCTCATTCCACATGGGAGAGAGGCCCTGGGTGAGGGTCCAGGAGAGTGGGGTGACACACAGCAGTGCCCGAGGCCAGGCGTCCTGACGCCCAGCAGTGGGGCGGCCAGTGGAGAGGGCACAGAGCCCCAGAACGGGAGGAGGACGTGCCAGCTGAAAGCATGAACTCAGCGCTGGCAGCCGTTTGGGCTCCATTAAATCGCAAGGATTTTCCGGATTATTAAGCAGGGCTGTCAGTCAGGGGCAGCTCTCTGAAAGGTTCCAGCGGCGGCCCTGAGGCCCATGCATCTGGGCTGGGCTCCAGGTACTGGCCTGCAGCTGGCTGAGTCCCCGGGGCAGTGGGAGTCCTTGACGCGGCAGGAATGGTCTGGTCGCACAACTGAGCCTCGCTGGGGGATCCTGGCCCCCCAGTCACTTGTCCTGACCCGGGGTGGGTGGACTTGTGGCTGTCACAGGGAGGGAAACCGTGCACCCTAGCCTGCGCCTGCCGCTCTGGGGCTGCCCGACCCCGCCTTCCCCTCAGGGGCTGCACCTGCTCACAGCTGTCACCTTTGCCAGGTGTGGTCACTCTCATCTGCAAACAGGTGCCACTCGGCACTCAGGGGAGACAGGCGTGGCCCCCTCCCCCACCTGAACCTCTCCAGCTGGGTGGGTGGACGGCCCCGTGGGCGATGCCACTGTTTCCCAGGTAAGGAGACTGAAGCTGGCAGATAGGGGGCCTCGGCTGGGGTAGGGAAGGAGCAGGGGCCGCACAGGGCCTCAGGGGGGTCTGAGGGCACCTCACCCT